CTTTGGGGCCGGGAATCACCAGAAGGTTCTTATCTGCTGATCTCAGTGCCCTTCGGGGGACATATCAGGAGAGGCGGTCCTGAAGATACGTAGGTCCCTGACCTTTAAAGGTGAGCACCAAAACCTTGAATCTGATCTGGGGGAACCACTTGCCACAAGCACAGGTCCTCCCAGGCAATGACCTTGCTCACTTTCCGGGGACATGGAGTTGATGAGCCACAGGTAGCATGCTAAAAATCCACACATGGTTCTCGAGCATCCGAGTGAGTGTCACTGAGCTAGGTTTCAGAGGGTAGCTGTGTCGGTCTGCAGTAGAACACCTAGATTTGACTCCAGTAGCACCTTTGGCTCATACCCCCCAATATATTTTGGTCTCTAAGGTGTCACTGAGCTAAGTAATCATTAACATGGTAAATCTTATCAGCAGCTGAACAATTTGGAATGATGGGGGGGGCCCCTCAGCAGACTGGGTGTTCTTCCATACAATCCATGTGCTAGTTTTCAACATGAAGGTTCCCCCCGCCTTGATGGAGGGATATTCAGTCCCCCTACAGTCTAAAGTAGTGCTACACAGCTGTAAGTTTACCACCTTACAGTTTTCCACAAAAGGTCAACACTTTGCCCATGGCTTTATCAACCATTCCAAAAGACGCTGCTGTTGTTACTGCAGGTGGTTCCCTGAGGAATTCTGCAGTCTCCTACAGAAGCCAGGAGAGGATGGGCTACCTGATTGTCTACCAGCCACCCAATCCAGCAATACTGATCATTGCATTCAGGTTCCCACCTTCCAAAGTAATCAGGGGGCTGGGCTGTCCCTGACTGTTTTCACAGACTACAGTTCTTTCAAAGGCTTACAGTAACAGTGTTAACTGTTGTTAATTTATTCTTCCAATTTGTAAGGCATGTACAGTCCGATCCTAAACGAGAGTCATGCCCTGTCAAATCTGTTGAAGCAGATGGACTCTGAATAACTTTAGGACTGCACAGTTAGAAAGAGTTGTCCTTCTTGATGAAAAGTGACTAATAAATGTACCCTATGAATAGTAATACAGAGGATCTCAGTTGCTGTTTCTGGCAGAATTGTTTCAGGATCAGCACCTTTGAGCCGGAAAGCACAGAGCAAGAGTGGAGCAGAGGGACACATTGCTCATCAAGGGTTTGTGTAAATGTTGCTGCATCTGGGGGCTGAGAGGTGGTTAGCCAGACTCAGAGCGTATCAGTCCCAACTGCCACAGAGAGAATGCGAGTGGCTAGTCAAAAGGCTGGCAATCTCACAGTTCAAGTGAGTGAAGGGAACCAATTATCCCAGGAAACTGGCTTCTGTTTGTTTGTGGGAGGGCTTGTGAGATCTGAGCTGGAAAAGAGAGCTGCCAATTTCTGAGATACTAATTCTGTTATTAATACAATCCACCGCGAGTGCATACACTCAAACTGTGTTAACAGTGTTTTTTGGGGTTTTTTAAAGGTTCCCTGACTAAGTCTGTGGGGAGGGGATAATTTGAATCTGTCTGGTGCAAAGTATAAGACAAAATAAAAGGCAAAGGAGCTGGCAATGTCAATTTTTTGGTCACTGGTCTGATATCAAGTCTGCCAAAGGAGATGGAATTAGAAACTTGCTTCCCAGTCCCCCCCCCCCCCCCCCCCTCCCTAGGCAAACTGATCTCTGTAGTCTAGAGATGAGCTGTAACTCCAGGGAATCTCCAGGTCCCACCTGGAGGCTGGCATCCCAAATTGTAAGTAGGCCTAAAAGGCCTATATTTCCTATAGCATTGCCCATTTCAGGTGGCTATTTCAGGTTCATTTTCCTCACCCTCCATGACAACTTTGGTCCAATCCCCCCCCCATCCAATCTGTTTACCATTAAAAAAAATTAATAAGAGGACCTGTCATGGATTTCCTAGCATCATGTCTAGTTTGAAGTTCGGTGAGGAGGTAAGCCTTCATTGGGCTGTAGGTGACGCTCCAATGATTTAATGCTCCTATAGCACACTAGTATTCTCCCTGAAGTGCAGATTTTCTCCATGGGGGGAGTTTGCTTGTATTTCCCTGGGGGTGGGGAGATTGTCTGGAGGACTGTTCAGTCCTGCTGACCCCCCTGCTTCAGTCTGATGTGGTACTGCACATGTACTGATGGGATACACCCAACAGGCTAAACAGTGAGTCCCTGGGGCCATTTCTAGTCAGGAAAACAGAACTACAGATCCCCAAGTGCCGCAGTCCTGATCTGAATCAGCCCCCACATGCCTGGGAATCTTAAGTTTCACCAGGGAAGTACCAGCACACGCCTGGCTGAGCAGCATGGGATGGACCCCTTAAAGAAGTAGACATGCAGTTGGGAGACTTAAGACTTGAAGTCTTTATTGAGACACGAGTCTCTCCTGCAAATTTCTAGAATGCCAAGAGGCCATAATTTCACCTTAAACAGATGCTTTGGAGGTTTTCTTAAAGAAAGTGTGGTCTTCCCCCCCCCCCCCCCCCCCCCCCTTTCCCATCTTGCTTTATTCTACTCTTTAAAATTTCAGGAGTCCTTTCAGAATTATGAATCCATCGCTGGTGATTGATGGGGAACCAAATGATGTTTTCAGAAGAGGGGGCTCCTAAAGCCTTTGCCCCCTATGCTGCACAGTGTCATTACTCAGATAGGTTTGGGCAAAGTCTGTTGTAACCAAACGTCCTCTGCCTCAAGCAGTCCAGACTGCCTAGTCCAAAAGTCAATTATAAGTTTGTTACCTCTGCCAGAATGCTGAAGCCAGTCCCCGTGCAGATCTTCTTAGAAAGCATAGATTTAAGTTAACCTCCAGTTTAAAGAATTAAAGCCAGGAAGCTGTTTAGGGAAGGTGTGGAAGCTGTTAGAAAACTGTAAGCAGCTGAAAATCAATTTTAAGGTCAGGCTGATCACAGAACTGTATTCTATTGTCTTTCTACTGTGTGGATTGAAAGTGTTACTGGGTTCAGGGTATTCCCCCCCCCCCCCCCGGGCCATATGTATCCAAATGCTGTCAAGTTGCAACCAACTTTCAAGGCAAGTGAGAAGCAGAGGTGGTTTGCCATTGCCTTCCTCTTCAGAGTCTTTCTTGGTGGTTCCCCGTCCAAGTACCAACCCTGCTTAGCTTCAGAGTTCTATCAAGACTGGGCCTATACCATGTCACCTTTCCTCCACTGTAAGCACCTACCCACACATTAAGGTCTCCCTCAAAGGCGTTGTTCTATGGTCTCCCACTGTCTGAGGCATTGTGGGTGGCTGTACAGCCTCACCTACTCGAGCGGTACCAAGCTCATGGCCTTCCTAGGGATGTCTGTCTTGTTCCATCACTGCTGGCTTTTTGTCATGTAGTGATGTTGGTGGTCTTCCAAAACATTTGTAGCAGTCATTGACCATGCAATCTGAAGCAGAGTTACAACCTTCTTGTTGTCAATCATTGTTCTTCCTGACTGTGTTGGCTCCTGTTTTCACTTTGTTCTGATGACCTTTTTAAATGACTGTATTGTAGTTTTTAGGATTCATAGCTGCCTTGTCATTGTATCTGTTGAAGGGTGGGATGCAAATATTGTAATAAACACAAAAAGAGAAATATTATGTTTGTTTGGAAGCAACCTCTGGTGCTTGATAGAGGTTGGTATGTGCAGGCCTGAAAATAAACTACCAGAAAACTAAAGTAGTTGTTTTCTCCACCAATTGGAATCCTTCTGGGTTTAGATGGACTCTGAATGGGGAAGAAATCCAGCAAGTGAAGGAGTTTTCCTATCTGGGTATCCTTTTCACATATAATCTAAAATGGGAGCCACATCAGTCAGTGATAAGGAGAAAAGCAGAAACCTTTGCTGACCATATATTAACACACACACACACACGAAATGGAGGTGGGGATTATGTTCCTGGTACTGTTCCAGTCTTTAACCTAAAAGTAATTCCTCTTATCCTTTACGGAGTAGCCATAAAGATTATCTCGGTAAATGAAAATGTTGACCATCTTCTTTTATATTTCCTGCAAAAATTATTAAACATTCCTCACTGTGTGGCTGATGTGGCTCTCTGTTCAGAACTGGGCCAACGTTCCCTTGAGGGAAGGGCTTGGTTACAAGCATTTACACTATTCATCAAGTCACACTTGAGCAGCAAGGGCTACCTAGTGCTCCTGAAAGAAGACTCTTATAGGTCAATGTGGTTTAAGACTGTTTTTGAGAAACTGTTGGCTCTCAGTGTTAACCTAAACAGTATCCAGGCCCTGGGTGTTCATGCAGCATTTGCTTTGGTGAGAAATTGTGTAAAATCAATTAATCACCAAAACTCTGCCTTTAGGTCATGCTGTACTTGTTCATACCAGTTTTTTGGTGGTCCAACTCCAAAATCTCTTCCCTCCTACACCTGTTTGTTGTCTTCCCAAAGCCTGTTAAGGGTGTTCAATGCTCACTCCTATGAAGTTACAAAGGGTAGGTTCATGTGGTTACCTTATTCAGAATGAATCTGCCCCTGTCCCTTAGGTAAGATCAGTACAATACCACATACCCTTCTGGAATATCCTTTGTATGCTAATCTCAGGAGGCATTATATTTCACTGTGTTTGTAAGCTCATTCTGACGTATATTTTGATTACCTAGTTACCTTTTTAATTGCTGACAGGGAACCAAAAAGTACTCTAGCAGTTGCAATTTTTTAAAAACTCCTTTTGTCTATTGGGTGATAAGTGATTAACAACAGCCATGCAGTACTTAAGATGTATCATAGAGCTTTTACTGGATAAAAGGAAATGAAAGGTTGGTATGTGCAGCATGAAAATCAATAATGGAACCAGTTTTAAATCAGGTACAGCCTTAATCCATGCAATAGAGCAAGACTGTGGGATGCTGGTCCACTAGTTTTGACGAGCTCCTTGGAGTTCTAGGTATCCATTCTCTCAAGATGGAACTGATGCTGCAGAATAGCTCCATCAAAGAACAGCAGCCCGTTCTTGTTGCTCTTGCCACCCTTACTGTATTCTTCCTTTCTCACTGCTTTTCAGGCTTTCAAGGGGGCTCTGATGAGCTCGTACTGGTGCTCAGGGAAAGGAGATGTGATCGAGGACTGGTGCCGATGCGACTTGAACGCCTTCGATGAGAACGGCCTCCCCAACTGCAGCCCCCTCCACCAGCCTGTGTAAGCCCTTCTTCTCAAACATCCTCTGTGTGTGCCATCCCAGAGTGGCTAGTGGAGACGCTTCTCCCTCGCTTCTGCCCAAGGCCCCCTCCCTCCTTTCATCCCCAAGCTGCTGCCCAAAGGTTGGTAAATCAACCTTTCAGGCTCCCGAAAAAAAGTACTCATTGGCAAAAACTCTATGGATGGTGTAAGCATCCAATGAAGCTGATGTACAGTAGATTCAGGATGAGCAAAAGGACATACTTCTTTACACAATGAGTGACTAAAATGTGGAATTCACTGGCAGAGGGTGTTCTGATGGCCACAGGCATATCTGGCATTAAAAGTGGGTTAGACGATGTCATGGAGGATAGGTGACCAGAAGGAACCTCCACATTCAAAGTTAGTAAAACTCTGAATACCAGTGCCAGGAGGCAAGATTGTGGGAAGGCCTCGACCTCTGTGCATTGTTGTTAACTCTCCATGGTAACTGCTTGGGCATTGTGTGATGATGCCAGACGAGATGGACCACTGGTCTGATCCAACAGAACTCATTGTGTGTTGATGCAAAATGTGGATGCAAGAAAACATCTAGCCCAGTTCGTAGAGAGGTGAACTTCAGAGATTAACTCTGCGCAATGCCGGACCAGACGTTGGTGTTCTGATCCCCTGTCTTATGCCATGGTGGGAGAGGGAGTGGATCATGACCACGATAGAGAGCATGAGGGCCTTGTCTCCATGCACTTTTCACAATGTAAATCCTTCCCCCTTCCCCAGGTGCTGCTTGTGATAGGAAGGGAGTCCTTATGCAGCACCACAATTACAATCCAGATGTACATCTCCTCAGCTGCCATTTGTTGAAACTGGAGATCTCATCACAGATTCCCACTGTCTAGTCTCCTTCAGCTGTGTGCTGATGTATGCCAGAGGTCAGCATTGCAAATCATGTGAGAAATTTGGGAGGCTTTGCAAAGTGGCAGCATCTGAGACTGCATAGATGTGTGGATGTGTTCTTGCAGGCAGGTTTGTCACCATGGGCATAGGGATGTGCTGTGCAAATCAACATGCACCAGTATTTCCTTTTTCCAGGCAGCTGTGCAAAAAGATGCAAGCTGGCTTTTCAGGGTTTCTGTCTTCCCCTCCCCACTTTTGTTTGGCCCAGATTGCGACTGTCCCCAAACGTGGAACCTTCTAGTACTGTCGTCTCTTTGGAGTGGTTGGATGTTCAGCCTGCCATTGGAACCAAAGTCTCAGACTACATCCTCCATCATAAGAAGGTTGATGAGTACACCAACACCGATCTCTACACAGGTCAGTGGGGGATCAGAGCACATGGTTTAAAGTGCACAGTGAAGGAATATTGAGCTCTGATTCAATGGTAGAATGACATATTTTTGCTTGGAGAGACATGCGCGGGGTTCCCAGGCAGTCTGACAAAGGGAATGTTGACTCTCAAAAGCTTATACCCTGAAAATCTTGTTGGTCTCTAAGTTGCTACTGGACTCATATCTAAGCATTCTACTGAAGACCAACATGGGTGCCCTCTGAAACAATATTTTTGTCTGTGTGCAGAAGATCCAAGGATCCGTGTCTGACATCTCCAGTTTGATGGGTCTCAGGTAGCAGATGTTGGGAAAGACCTTTATCTGTCTGAACAGTACTGAGCTAGATGGACCAGTGGTCTGATTTTCTGTATGTCAGTTTCATAGGGTCATGTCTCTTATCAACAAAGTGGGCACTGCAGCTGGGTTCTCTCCCTCTCTCTCCCTGTGTGTGTGTGTGTGTGTGTGTGTGTGTGTTTGTTTAGGGGACATTCTCATTAGAGAGGAGTGACTCCAGTTAGTAGTGTTATCATTTAGAATAACACAAAGCTCTTCTGGTTTATCTGGTTTTGGGTATCAGTTCATATTTTTAACAATACCTCCACAATGTTGGGTCATTCAGACAAGACACAGTAAGAGGCATCAGAGTTTCAGACAGAGTGCATGAAGCAAATATGCAATGTTGTTTTCCTGTAACAGTCAGTCTTTTTTTTGTGTGGTTTCTATAACAGTACTAATAAGTGTCTATCATTCCCTTGAGCTTGTAGAGATGTGCTTGGGGTTCCCAGGCAATCTGAAAGGATGGCAAAGCCAGCTCACAGATGGACAAAGGGACAAACTTCAAAAGGTGCTGAGCAAGCCCCATCCCGTCAGCTCTCAGATGCTAATGTTAGCCGAATTGCTTTATTTACAGCAATTGGCAATTTATAAATGGGTTCTTGCCAGTTTATACCAAGGTCTTGTTCCCACATGGGTTACCAGAGAAGGATAACGAGGCTGTTGTTGTTAAAATAGATGTCTTTTACTTAAAGAATAAATCTCATACAAACAATACTGATGCACTCACACATTCAATCAAGTTCCTCAGAATTACAGTATTAAAATAAGCACGGTTGCATTAGCAGGTGGGGGTGATGACGGGTGATACTTATCTGTCTTGCAGCTTGGTGGTCCCAATGAAGAATAGAGGGGAAGAAATAGAAAATTAAGGAATTCACACACAACCAAAACCAGCCGGAACGCGTGGGCAGTAGAGGCAAGGGTTGGGGATAGCAAAGGGGACTTAAGAGGAGTTAAAAACAGACAGGGGTTGTTGCAGGGGAGATGCTAGTTGATCAAGTAGGAGGGACCAGGTGACTGGTTCTCTCCTTTTCTAGTGGGTTCAAGAGATGGGTGGTAACTGTTCCAACCTCTTGGCCCACCTACCTGTTAGTCCGTCCCAAAAACAATCCTATTGGTTCCATGGAGGGAGGGGTGGTCACCTAAGAGGGGTGGCCAATATTGAAACCTAAAACCTTGCTCAAGGGATGGCATCTGTATTGCTGATGAAGCTGACCATTCTCATTGTGAACCAAATGTCCATTTGGCAGGAAATACCAAAGCAGGAACAAAGCAGTTGATGGGTGGTAAAGGTAAAGGTTCCCTTGCTCAAAAGCCAGTCGAGTCCGACTCTAGGGTTGCGGTGCTCATCTCCATTTCCAAGCTGAAGAGCCAGCGTTGTCCGAAGACATTTCCATGGGGTCATGTGGCCGGCATGACTAAACACCAAGGTGCACGGAACGCTGTTTCCTTCCCACCGAAGTGGTACCTATTTGTCTACTTGCAATTTCTTGCTTTCGAACTGCTAGGTTGGCAGGAGCTGGAACTAGAGATGGGAGCTCACTCCGTCATGCGGCAACTCGGGTCTTGAACTGCTGAACTACTGACCTTCCACAGCCTGCAGTTCAGCGTCTTAACCACTTGAGCTACCGTGACCACAAACAGTTCAGCAATGGGGGCTTTCTCTGCTCAGAGCTGTTGTTTCTCATTGCTCATAATAATGGAGGTGTGTGCTTCTTTCACCAGGCTGGTAATGGTGTAGCTGAAACCTTATTCACGTGTAAGTCTTGTGTAGGCACCTTCTATGTGTTGCATCACAACAGGTGACTTAAAGTGTACAGTTCTTTGAGCCTGTGTGTGTGTGCACAGTCCATTGTGTGTAGCAATAAATATAATTCATAAAGCAAATATCCACTTCATTCTCTAACACTAAGGAGTACCAACCCTGGCAAGTATTTGGATGAGAGACCTCCAGAGAATACCAGGGCTGAGAGGCCAGAGGCAGGCTATCAAGCCACTTCTCTGAATGTCCTCTGTGCCCCAGTAGGAGTCACCAGAGGTTGCCATGACTTCCAGCCATGAGCAGACACACGCACGCACGCACACACAAAAATGCAAAAAATACCCAAAAAAAATTAAAGTGCTGAGCAGAATTGTTGGCCAAAGCCTGCAAATGGTCTTGCTTGCTGGGTTTTCAGAATGACATGTTCTTCACTGGAGACAGCCAATTCCCATTTTCTTCCCTAGTGGTTGCTATTGGTCTCCTAGACAAAGTGGGAGCTCCTTTACCTGTTGAAAAAGAACTCAGTTTGTGTACTTCTTGTTTGCATATTTTTTGTCTCCTGATCAGTAGACACATTGGAGTTTGTCATTGATGGAAGGGTAGCTGGTGCTGATAACACATTTGGCAGGACCTGGAGAGCTTCAGATAGATAAAATAATTTTGCTGGGGAAGGGGTATCTCTTTGTTGGTTTCTAGGCAGACTCCCATTCACATCCTAGTTCCAAATGCTGAAACAGAGAGCCCCAGAAACACTAAAGGAGGAAGGTTTCTAAAAAGGTAGATGGGGCTGCTGCTGGAGCTGCAGAACCACTATCTGAATTATGTACTTTCTGATTATCACAATGGGTCATGGATCTTCTGTATTCTATATGAAACGGAAGGAAAGCGGAGTGCCTCTCAGCACCTGCAGAGGTGACTGGTGGCAGCTTCTAGTCAGTGCTTAAAAGATCAAGGGCAGGGCATTTGGCAGAGTTTCAATGCCGTCTTTAGAAATAGGTGCAGCTGTTACCCAAGATGGCAAAGTACACAGAGTCCTTTTTGAGCACTACTCAGACTGTATGTGTGTGTGGGGTGGGAGCTATAACTGAGCTGTGAGGACGGGTGATTCGTTCCTTTATTGTCCTTTCCCCCTTTGGGCCCTCTTCTTCCGAAGCATCCATTTGACGTGGAAGGACTAGATAGGCTATCGATCTCACCCAATATGGCAGTCCTTTCGTTTGTGTGGGTGCCTTACTCCATTCCTTTGGCATCTGTGGGCCTCCCACAGCTTTCTGCAACTGCGTGCTGCCAGCTGTGGAGATCCAACGCTGTACGTGCCACTAGACCAGTCTCTGTCTCATCTAAGAGAACAGACCTGGCTCCAGGGGGAATTTTGCCAAGGTGCTTGTGGACCGATTGAGTTCCTCGAGGTATGCCCAGAACAACCCTTATTTAGGGGTTAGCAGGTTCCTTCCAAGGCACCTAGAGGGCAGCATTACCCAGTATATTAACTTTTTTCCTTAATTTAAAAGAGTTTCAGATCTGCACTTGTAAGTAACTGAGCCTTTTGTTTTCCGATTGCTACTATTTTAAGCTGCTTATTTTTTTTATTCTGAATTTTTTGTTTCTTTTTTAGTTTAACTTCATTGCTGTTTTATTCTTCTGATGTTGTTATGCTGCCCTTACTGATTTACATTCTCTCTCTCTCTCTTTTCTAATGTGAAAACTGCCTCAAACATGTTCTAGAGAGAGCATCATATAAATATATTAACCAAATAAACCCAAAGAGATAAGACGTGCTTCTCTTGAGAGCCGTCTGAGAGAAATGTGAATTCTCAGATACATGACACCCACTGTGACTCAGTGGTAGAACATCTGCTTCCCATACAGAAGGTTTCAGGTTTCATTTCTAGCATCTCCATTTAAAAGGGTTGAGTAGTGATGGCGGAAAGTTCCATCAGGTCATAGCCGATATATGGTGACCCCATAGGTTTTTCAAGCAAGAGATGTTCAGAGGTGGCTTGCCATTGCCTGACTCTGTGTACCAGCGTAGAACTTCTTTGGTAGGCTCCCATCCAAGTACTAACCAGGGACAATTCTGCTTAGCTTCCTCAATCTGATGAGATCGGGATAGCCTGGGCCATCCAGGTCAGGGCGGTCAAGTAGTAGATGGTGTAGAAGACCTCTGCCTGAGGCCCTAGAGTAGAGATCTGCTGCCTGTCACAGAAGGCAGTACTGACATTTATATACCAGTGGTCTGGCCCAGTGTAATGCCACTTCCTGTGATGTGATGCTGCATGTCAAGGAGGCTTCACCTTCAGTGAGACCTCCTCTCCATGTGGAAGTGGGATGTGGCACCTTCTGAACATGCGATGTGACATAGCAAGAGCTCCAGAAACTCATAGGTAGAAAACCACCCCCACCTGGATGTGTCAAAATATCCAGAACTAAGTGGAAGATGACCACAAAGGTTTTAAGTTGATGTTTTTAACTGAATGGAGCAGGACTGAATTCCTATATCCCAGATGCTCCCTTTGGAATGTCCCTGTGGATGTAACTGCTTGGAGGAAGTAATGTGCAAGTTTGCAGAACCACTGTTGGTTGGTACCACTTCCCAGCAGTGATCCCATGAGTGGAGCAAATGCTTTTCAGGTCATCGATACCACCATTTGGAGGAAGTTAAGATATACAGACATCAAATAGCTGAGAGATGGAGGGAATCCATGAATAGATCCCCCTGCAGTTTTTTGTTTGTTCGATTTTAAAATGATAATTACAAGAGGGAAGATTTGGTTCAGGAACCTTAGGGGAAGAGGGTTAACCCTTTCATCCCATGCCATTTTCACAAACGTGGTCATTCGCTTAAACCTGACGTTTGCCCTGCGAAGGAAGGATGTTGTATACTTATCTTTTCCCCCTGTAGAGAAAATAACAGCTTGGGAGAGGGAGGAATTAATGACAGTAAAACTGTGCAAAGCAAAAGGGTTAAACTCCTCCCACTGTTGGCTGCCATTAAAACCTGTGCGGGAGATTTGTCCAAACGGCTCCCAGGGCCTCATTGTTAAGATTCTCAGTTGGCTCAAGGGGAATGCAGTTACAAGAATAAACTGGTAGGTGCTGGACCATAGGTGACCTACATTTAGTAGGGGAGATCACAAGGTGTTCATCTATCTGTATGGATTACCGAATTTAGTGGCCGCTCTGTTTTGATTTGAAACCTGGAGTTTTGTTTCTTGTTTCTTGCTCAGGATGAAGTGGTGATAATCTTTTCTCCACCCAAAATAACATTCTATAGTAATACTGACATTAAAAATTAACACTTTGGGGGGATAAATAGTGCAAAAAATGGTGCAGATTGTATCAGCGGTGTGAAAATGCTCTATAAATGCTAGGAAAATGTGTAATACTCTATAAATGTTGTAAAAGCAGGAAAAGAAATGGGGGAAATAGCAAAGGATATACATGCACTGAAAATGCTTGTGACAAATCTGTACACAAATTGCAAAAGGAATTAAAATGGTACATGCTTCCATGCTTGTGTGTGTGTGTGTGTATAGGACACGATGGACAGTGACAGGTCTAACCATATAAAGCAGCTCCGTATGTCTTTTATCTCTGCATCTCTGTGTTTATGGACGTGGGCCGAGGATTAGAAAAAGGCTTCTAATCTTTAAAAGAGTGAAATCCTGGATCTGATCCCCAAGAGCAGCTGTGGAAGCAGAACCGCTTGATAGTTTGGGCATGAAACTATATATGTGATCAAAGAAGGGTGATGTTAAAGACTAACAGATTTATGGTGGAAGAAACTTTTGGTGGACCTGAGCCGACTTCATCAGATTCATGAACTGAGGATAACATCGGCCACGAGAGGCAGAATAACTTTGTCCATCTGACCAAGTGGCCTCTAGTCCATGAAAGCTTTTCTCCATAATGAAGCCACTAGTCTTTGTGGTAACATGTCAGTCTTCTTGTTTGATTGTGGCTGCGGTCACACGAGCAGGAAACTGCGGGGGGGGGGGAAGCGTGGCTGTTTGCCCCGGGGCAAACTAACGCGCGGTTAAGCGATCAGACTTCCTGTGGAAGTCCTGTGGAGGTACGTAGAGGTTCCGTGGGTAGGGAGAGGTGCCGATCACAGGACATGCCTGCACGCAACGAAGAAGCACACGGTGTGGCAAACTGGTTTTCTTTTTTTGTGTACACAACAAATGCGTATGCTCTGTTGGGCGCGTGTGCGCATCCATGGAGACTTGGGGGGGGGACCTTTTTCGCAAGGGGACATGGGCGGGCGCTGGATGCCACCGGAAACGCGATCAGACGCCCACCCTTGCCCCGCGGTTTCCGGAAACTAGTACCTCCGAGGTACTAATTTTTTGCTGCGCATTTTCGGTGGGAAGCCTCGGTTGTGCCACAGAAGCGCTACGCTTTCCAGATGTGCCGGTGACATCGCGCCCGGAAAATCCGCCTTTCTTCCGTCTCTCTTGCATGGCTAATGTTCCATGTGACCGCAGCCTTGGTATAGTAGCTGCACCTCTGTGCTAAATATTTATTTATTTATTAAATTAGATTTTTCTAGACCACCCTTCCCTACAGGTAGGGCTCAGGGTAGCTTACAACAGAGCAATAACAAAAATATTTCATTTAAAACAACATTAAAACAATTGAAAACAGATCAATAAATAGAAACAAATTACATATACCTGATGGCGGAAAAATCGGCTCCCCTGCCCTCCTTGGGGGGAAGAGTACATTGGTGGCATAGAATAAATGTGGAACAGTAATAATAACTGAGCCACCTCGCTTTGCTGGCACCATGCCTTGGCAAAACCCTAGTTTCTTCCTTTGATGCCTCCGAAAGGTGAATGCTGTTCATGAGTTTCTCCTTGCTGTTAATGGTTTCCTTCTCTTCTGTGTCAGTACTGAAGAGTCAGGGTTAAATATGTAATAACTGAAGGCAAGAAAGTTAATCAGAAAAATATTATCTCACTCCTCCATACAGCTCAGGTTTTCCCGTCCTCACTTCAGGGTTGCCCCAACAGTCTTTAACACTAGTCAGGAATTGCCTACAAAGATATGGTTTAAAACTCCACAATTTCAGATTATGGTTATGCAGCAATTCTTGGTTAGCACTAATCATAGTTTGTCCAATTCAGGTGTAACCAAAAGTATAGGTAGAGGGGACAAGGGAATCCGCATGTGAGAATGGATAGTGTGTCACCATGGTCTGGATATTGGGCTTGTGACATCTGAACTGAGACATTATTCAGTGGAAAGAAGGAGAGATTGAGTTAAGGGAGTAAGACCATCCCACTCCATTCAGTGCGTACATATGCATATGTGTATGCAGGAAGACCGCTCAATGAGTGTTTGCACAATCCCACTGAAAGAATGTTCTGTGTCTACTGAGTCCTTGGCCAAATGCAAACCGAGAAACCATTTCAGTGGCCTTGAGAATGAGTGGCTGTACCCTGGTGTTCACAACAGCATAGCTGCATCTAAACTTGTTGAATGACAGTCAGGGATATGAGTCCGGAATAGTGGTGCAACAGTGTGCCAGGTGGTTGAGCAGTGCTCCTTGCTCACAGTGAGAGTGTTCCTCAGTGTGCGTGAGTGAACTGCATGCAACTGCACTGAACAAGCCAGCGGATTATGTCATAGTAGAAGCAGGCCCTGCGTTTAAAAGAAGGAGCATGTGTATTTTTACAGGGTGAGGTACATACCGAAGTGGCTTACCAGCATCTGGAACTAATATTAAGCTTGGAAAATGTTTTCTGTCACTCCAGTGCTGCTCTAGTGGAAGGGTGAGAACCTCCAAATAGGAGGGGTGGAGAACAGCAGTAAGACCCAGACTGTATTGCACAGGCATGAGTGAAACATGGGACGGGATCAGTCATGGATATGCTGGGATAAAACTGTGCAGTTAAGACGGTGGTTCTCATCCTTGGCGGGGGGGGCACCTGAAGGGGGGAGGTGTGTGTATGATTCCTCTGTTCCTGAGATGCAGAAGGTTCTGCGACACAAGAGAGCCAGGCACACCTTTCCTCCTGGCAGAAGAATATTAGTGTTGCAACTACCAAACTGTTTGTGCTGTCCATGGAAGCTGCAGAGAAGCAGTGATTTATGAGAGCTGCTCCTTCTCTCCATCCAGACTCACCTGCTACCTTGGCTGGCTAGTTTTAGGAAGGAGTCTGGGGCATCTCTTCGCATATTCACCTGTGTCCTGTGTGACTTGCTGGTTCTTCTCAAGTCCCATGCATGTGACGTCTGATTCAGATTGTGGTGTGCACGGGAGAAGGGGTTTCCCTCCTGCATGTTTTCTTGACCTGCCGTTGTCCTGGGTGTGCACT